GGAGCCACAGAGTCAAACTCCTCCCATACAACAGTCTCAAGACCTGCTCCCGTATCCTCCCCCGGGGCCACCCAGTCAGAGTCCAGACCTTCTCGGATCCGAGCGACTTTGTCATACAGATATTGCGCAAAGTCCTCGGCCCTCCCCTCCAGGGGATCCCCCCCCTCCCTCAATTGAAGGAGAGAGCGGGTCACCCTGAAGAGGGAGGCCGGGCGGTTATCTGATGACGCAATGAGGGTGGAATAGTAATTAGACCTCGCCACCCTCATCGCCACAAGGTAGGATCTAACATGTATCCTTACCTGTGTTCGGTCGGATTCGGTTCGGCTAGCCCTCCAACTGCTCTCTAGGTGTCTAGCCCTCCAACTGCTCTCTAGGCGTTTGGTTGTAACTTACCAAAGCCCTTTAGATAACAATAATGTTGCTACTGTAAACACCTTGAAGGTGCATGAAATGATAACAAATATAAATCTCTCACAAAGTATGTATCTATATAGTAAGAGAACCTACAGATTTTAATCATATAAAATCTATGCCAGTCTTCAACAGGGATGTATTTATTCTTCCTCAATGTTTCTCCATTGAGGAGAAACAAACTATCTAGTTTATTTTCTGGCTTATACAGTAGTACCTATATAGTATTCCACTCAAATAATTAAAAGGTAACCACAAAGATCCTAGAATACTAATGGCTGCAGAACGGAACTAGGATCTTTGGGTTTGGAGCTTTGTTTCTCCATCCCACCAGTCCCTCTGGAACATGGAAGGGAACTACTCAGTGGTGGGATTCAAATACCTGAACAACCAGTTCTCTGAGTGGATGCAGGCCTATGCGTCCAAGGTCTAGAACGGACTTCCAGAAGTGGCATCCACGCACGTCCAGCGGGCTGTTCTAGGCCTGGGAGGCCTCCTCCAGCTGGTTCTCCGAACTCAAAAAAGTTGAGCTACCGGTGCGAACCGGCTGAATCCCACCACTGGAAGTACTCTGGTGGGTTGCAGAAATGGAGCTCGGATCTTTGGGATCAGAGCTCCATTTCTGCAACACTTCAAAGAAGTTCCCTCCCCGCCATGCACAGCAGGAAACTCCATCATAGGCTGCAGAAATGGAGCTCAGGTCTCAAAGATCCCAGCTCTGTTCCTGCAGCTGCTGGAGCAGTTCTCTTTCATATACAGAAGGGAGATTAACTCCTCTGGCAGGAAGGAGAAATACAACTGCCTGTACTTGGGGGGGGGAATCTCAGCTGCACCGCAAGTGCGAGCAGCTTGCAACTTGCCCCTCCCAGCTTCCCCATTAGCTTTCTGGGGAAGCCGGCAGAGAGAACTGCAAATGGCAATAACATGATTGTGGGGCACTTGGCAACTGGTCATGAGTGCAATCAGGTTGTCAAGACCTAGATCACAATCACATGATCAGAGGGGGCAATGTGACATTTTACAATAGCCAGAAATCTTTACAGGCGGTAAAACATCCTTTATGAGGCTGTCGTAATTGCAAACAACCATTAAACATTTGGTCATAACTTGAGGGCTATCTGTAATGATGAAAACAGGAAATATTTCCTGCTTATGTGAAAGCTGTATATAAGGAAAATATATGAACTCCAAACCAATCCTTAATTCTCTTTGTAAGAAAAAAACCCATCTGGAACAAGCTTATGTTGCACACATCTCTTCAAGGGCACACTCTAATTAAAATCCAAGAGACAGCTTACCCTCATGCCAAGCACCAAAAACCCAATCTCTTCCATTAGTGGGTATTTGCTGATTTGTTGCTTTATCTTCTCTTCTGAAGCATATGGATCATAGCTTTTCTGGCCTATTTTTACATCCATTATGCATGGTTTCTTAAACCTGTGTGTCACATCTTCCAGTTTCAGGTACAAATCTGTAAACAATTAAGGATAACTCAGCTTTGTCGGTATCTGGAAAAAATTGTGATTTCCATACACCACAGCTATCATACCAGGCTATTAATTATTCAATGTCTTGGAAAGGAAGGCCAAAAGCCCAATATTTCTTCAGTTCATGAATGAAAACTCTTAATGTTAACTATCAATCATACTCCTTTTCTCTATCAGTTTTAGCAATAGTTATGTCTAACCATCGTTCCCCTTAATCAAAATTTGCAACTAATTTCAAATCTTGCTTAATATTAACCATAGCACTACAGATTTTATATTTAAAAATGATTAAGATCATTAGGGAAACAAGAGAAATTATTTTTCTAACAGAAATTCTGAGTGAGGTGGGCAGGGCTTCTGGTTTTACAATCATGATAAGAGATCAGGAACACTTATTGATTCATGAGCCTCGGATTTATTTACCCAATCTTCCCCTCACAGAATCATAGGACTGGAAGGGACCTTGGAGGTCTTCTAATCTATCCCCTGCCTAAGACAGGAGTCTTTATACCATCCCAATCAAATGATTGTCCAATCTTTTCTTGAAAACCTCCAGTAATGACTGAGAATCTCCATAGACAACTCAGTAATGGAGCACCCACAACTCAGAAGGGCAAGCTATTCTACTGACAAATTGCTCTCACTGTCAGGAAATTGCTCTTATTTCCAGGTTGAATCTCCCTCTGACAAGCTTGCACCCATTCTTCTTGTCCTGCCGTCAGGTGCTATGGAAAATAAATCAACACCCTCTTCTTATGACAGTCCTTCAAGTATTAGAAGACTGCTATCGTGTCTCCCCTAAACCTTCTCTTCATTAACTAAACATAACTAGTTCCCTTAGCTGTACATCATATGATTTAGACTCCAGATTCCTTATCATCTCTGTTGTTCTTCTCTGCACTCTTTCTAGGGTTTCAGCATCTTTTCTGAATCGTGGTGACCGGAAGTGGACTTAATTAAGTACATCAGCTCTGAAATATTTTTTCCACAAAGTTCTATATGATAGAATTTAAGAAGACCCTCCACAGTAATTTCCATCAAATTCATGTCTAGCACACTGAATATAGCAATAGTACCATTAGGTGCAGTAGGCAATGACCAGGTTCCATAATATTTTGGCAAATATTTTTGTAGTTCAAGAAACACAGAGTCTTCACATCCATCAGCAAATACCTGAAATAAAATAAATTATTTATTTATTTATTTATTATTTAAATTTATATACCGCCCTATCTCCCTTACGGGACTCAGGGTGGTGAACAGGCAATAATAAAAATCACAATAAATATTGAATAAAAAGCCTGCTCTAAAATACCCCATATAAAACCCCTAGCAAAGCCCAATCAAAACTACGCCAGGCCGGCCGCATGGAATAGATGGGTTTTCAAGGCTCGG